GGACGACTTTAACGAGTCTGTTGTGCGAAGAAATATTAATGACTTCTACATGACCGAAAACGGACACCTTCCCTGAAAAAAGTTCACGAAAAGTCGAAGAAAACGTTAGATTTTCAGGGATGCATCTCCACATTAAAGAAAATGATTTTGAAACTGGGGTTCTGCTGGAAGAAAACAAAAAATAATCGGCAGCTACTGGTGGAACGATATAATATCAGAGCCAAACGTCTTCAGTATTTGCGGCAAATTAAAGAATATAGGGAAGAGGGCCGCCCAATCATCTACATGGATGAAACCTATATTCATTCATCGCACACACCCCATATGCATAGAGTTATGGATCCATCCAGGGATTATATTCCCGTGTCCAAAGGCCAGCGGCTCATTGTTATCCATGCAGGGGGAGAGCAAAGTTTCATCCCTAATGCCTACGTCCGCTTCACATCCCACCAAAAAAACAGGAGACTACCACAGTGACATGAACTACACCAACTATGAAAAATGGTTAAAGGAGCGACTTATTCCTAACCTTCTCCCAAATTCTGTCCTTGTCATTGATAATGCTCCCTACCATAATGTACAACTAAATAGAGCCCCTAACTCAAATTAAAGAAGAAATTTTATGATATCCTGGCTAAAATATCACCTTCCACCTATTACCTTCAATAACACTGATTTTTCATCATTGCGGAATCCAGACATATATAATATGATCCTACCACTCAAACCGAAATACCTTTCCTATAAAATAGATGGAATCTTTGCAGAACACAATCACAATATTTTACGACTCCCTCTGTATCGCCCAGAACTCAACCCGATTGAGTTAATATGGGCCACCGTAAAAAATTGGGTTGCTCAAAACAATACCACATTTAAGATGGATGACGTCATTAAACAGGAAGACCAAAAATTGGCTTCCATAACTGCAGAAGATTGGCAATGTAGGTGCCAACATGTAAGGAACATTGAGTAACAATTAATGGCAAGGGAAGGCCTTTTGGACGCAGAACGGGAGTTCGTCTTCCATGTTGGCGGTGATAGTGGTGACAGTTCTGATGATGGCTCCGATTCATCTGGTGGTGACGAGGAAGGACAGGCATGTGGAGATGATATCTATGCGGACATTGCCTGTTTTGCCCCTTTAGAATAGACCCGTGTAATATGTAAATAAATTCTTCATGTATATAACAGTGAAAAGTGTATAATAGTGTATAGTGCATAATAGTCTGCCATTCGGCACTTAAAACTTAACATCGGATGTGTGAACATCAACGAGAATAAACCACCATTACTATACAACACAATGAGGTACGAAGTTATTTCCTTTTGAGAACGCCTGTACTGAATTCCCCGCCACACTTGTCGGCATGCTGGAGCTCTCCCCGCCACTACCAATACTTCTCCTACTCCATGTCGGAGGACTGTCAGCTCCAAGTACTACAACTTTAAGTACGACGTGAAATATCATTTGTTTTGAGAAAACAAATAGTACATATAGAACACCTATGAACATCAAATTAAGACTACATATATTAACCCAGAAAAAACACAGCATAATATGTCACAATTAGAAAAAAGGGAAACATAATGAATACAAAGAAGGAACATCACTCGCTGTTGCCATGAAACAATATGGAGTTCCATAGGTTTAGATTTGCATTTGATGATATGTGCGGACTCATGTTAGTGTTCATTTTCATAGGTCAAGTCTCATAAATCCCATACAGCCAGTCTCCTAGCAACACGCCACTCACTGCTAGAGATAATTCTGATAACGTGGACAAGAAGATTAGCAGAACAAGAAATGTGCGTCATAAGACCTGGCTTATTCCCAATAGACAGAACTCATTTAACAGACCAACAGTGCATTATTTAGGTGTACAATTAGAAATGCAGCAATACAAACACTACTTTACATTCCATTTTTTTATGTTTTCAAGACAGTATCTTCTACTGTTTGTATCTTCTGTTGTTTTGTAACACTGAACCAACTGCAGATCATAACTTGGGTTGAATAACAGGATTGAAAAAATTAGCCCAAATGCAAGCCTAGTGTAATGGATTAATATAAAATTAAGTATTTTCATCATTCCTTGCAGAAGTTCGCCACAATTTGCTACAGTAAGGATAGGAGTATTCTTCCTCCTGTCCATATATCTTGCATATAGTATTATCTGAGAAGTCTACAACATGTCATTTGCCTAGTCAGCAATCCTGTAACCAGTGTGCACCGTTTCCTGCCCAAGGCAAATAGATCTTTAGACAGTATTTCTAAAGGCCTTTCAATGAAGGGCTTTGAGTATCCCACACCTGGTTTGGCAGCCCTATATTTGGAGAGCATTTTTTTCAGGCACTCTTTAATCTTGAGCCTGTGAGATTTCAGTTGCTGGTTTAGGCCTGAGAAATTATCCCTTCCTAGCCAATGCTTCTGCATCCTAGCTGCCCTGAATCCCACTGTGGCCAGGGATCCAGAGGAACATTAAATTGTAGTGAAATAATTTCCAATAAAGGAAGAATCAATGACATTACACCTAGATGGCACAAAAAAGTCCTAGGCCAGGTTAATTTGTGTCTATTGGACAGAGCACAATTTCCTCTTGACATTCCCAGACCAGCTTCAGCATTATCCTTGATGCCTCAAGGGCTCACAAAGATGTCTGGCTATCTGATCAAATATATATTTGCTCTCTTGCATAGTTCCTATTTCTGCAGCCCTTTGCACAGGCTAAAATTGCAAAGATTTCTGCCTAGAACACTGTGACATGTACACCAAATGATGAAGTCAGCCTCCTCCTCCATCTCATCCAATATACACCCATTCTGGACCCATATCTATAACAGATTAGCCCTCTGGACTGAAAAGTCATGGGTCCGATAGATAACCAATCCATGAATGAGTTTCAAACTATCTTTTGTGTATTTCCACTTAATACTGTTGTGTATTTACTCTGTGCAAGTATTGTTGAGTCACAGGAACAACCATTGCTAAGTAATACACGCTTGCAACAATATAGAGGTCAAATTGGTATCTGAATCTCTCTGGGACTACTGAGCAACTTTTATCTTTCAAACTTTCTGCCTGGTGTTACTGTATTATTAAATTATTATGGACCATCCCTTAATGAAGACACTTTAGGACTCACCTATGAACACATAAGATGAAACAGTGGATATACTTTTGCAATTTCTGATTTCAGGATAGGACAAAGACATCAAAGAAGAGTGGCATTCAGTATCTGATATCACAATGGTAGCACAAGCAAAGCCTGATTGTAAGTAAATTTCCTTGTCCTTAGTTTTTCATGGCCTGTATTTAAATGTGTAATTCTTCTTTCAGAATAAACACTGAAAGCCAAATTACACATTTACAGCAATTCTGTTGTTCACTTGAGGACTGTACTGAATAGTGAGTCACTAGTAATGAAATAGTAGAAACTCTAAGGGGAACATCCTTTTCCTTTCCCCATATAATTTCCATTAGTTCCATCCAGTCCAGTCAATTATTGCTGGCCCTCACCAGCACAGCATTCTATGTTCCAAGAATCATGGGACTCATGACCATACTGCAATATTTCATGGCTCTGGGAGTGCAGATTTCAGTTACCACATATTTGAAGAGTTCTATCTTAGATTGTATTGTATTGTATTGTATTTTATTTTCATCCGTTTTGCTACATAGTAACATTTGGACACGTCATTCATAATATAAGTTAACAAAATAAATCTACATAGTTACAAGCATACTAGGAACTATATTGATTGATTTATCCAGGAGTACAACTTAACAAACAAACATGATGATGTCCAAATCATGACTCATCGCTCCTAATTTAACACTCCTGAGGATATTTATTTTAATTTGACACTAAATGACTCCTAGACTTCAAAGAACATGGGTATCAACTCATATATCAATTTATCTTACTTTCAAACATGACAATTTTCCATGATGTTTCCTGCCACGCATGTACACACACACACCCTCTTCTAGAATAATAGAGCTACCTAATGTGACCTTAATCTTTACTCCTAGTCTTTCCTTTTTAGTTATATATGTACACTGTAATTTCTTAATATGACTGTTATTCCTTGGGATTACTGGCTTTTGGACTTTGTCCATCATCCTCTATACCTGACATCATCCTCAGAACCCTTCAGGATCCACCTCTTATCAAGTAAGTAAGTAAAAAGTAAAGCTATCCCTGTTCGTTCGTTCGTTTATTTGCATTCTGTTAATCCATACAAGGTCAAACCAACCTATAAATATAACTGTTAAAAGTCAACCAATGCTTTGGAGGGACATGCTGCCTCTATGTTCAGGATCAAAGAATGAAGCAAGCAAGAAACCAGCATGAAGCAGGTAGCAAGCAGAGCTTTGACCATGACGTTATATTCCAGAAAATAGAACTCTTCAAAACTACTGCTCTGAGAACGTCAAATCCTATTGAATTGAATTGAATTGAATTTATTTACATTCTATAAATCCTAAGTAGGTTAGTACCTTTGGATACAGAACAAGTCAAAAGGTTACATACATAAGTACAGGCAATTTTAGCTTAAAAATTAATATAACTTA